GTCAAAATTCACGGGGACTCGATACCAAGAAAGATCACGTTAAATATCAAACATTCGAATAAAGGTACGACCCCAGTCCAATTCTTTCTATTTTTTTTCAACTAACACTTGCATATTTCCGACAAAGATCGGCACGAAGCTTTCGACCTTAAAACACGCGTTGCACTCTTTTTTCCCTTAGATCGGTTTTTGTGCCAAATGGGTTTTTCCGGCGAGGTTTTTAACGAGGCAACCATTATTCGTGTTAAATTAGAGCTATTCAATAGTATACAAGGTTCCCCACAATAAGCCTCGATACTGGAGGGCATTGCCCTCAAATAACTATTTTGTTGCAAGGAAATACTTCGAGACATCGAGTCTCGATAGGAAAACTTTGTAATGGGCCAAACAGTCAGATGAATTGTGTCCGTATAGAATAGTCGAGCCCCGATGGCAAAACATGTACGCATGTATCAATTATCCAAAGAAGCATTCTTTCTATATCAAAACACTTTGTGTCTCAAAGAAACTTGCTACTATACGAACATCTTACTTGTGATTCCACGGGAAACAACTCAAGGTTCAGAACGCAAATACACTTCGAATACACAAGGACTGTCGTCAACAGTTAACACATTCAAGTATCTAAACTCGAATTTATAAGACGCTAAAGAGGCATCCCTCGACGCAAAGGACAAGGCCATCATACTCGGGGACTAACCTTTCAGACAAGTTCAAAATGTTATCGGGAAAGACGTCTAAAAGACACACCCCAAGGCTACAACCATATTAAAGACTACAGTCATAAAAAAAGGCTACGGCCAAAATCTTGCGGCTCGGAGACGTCTAACTTCCATCATAAGTTAAAGGCCTTCAAATGCTTTGATAAACCGGTTAAATAAGGCTACCCTCGGTAAAAGCAAATAAAAAAGGGCTTCGATAAAATCAGCCATCGAATAATTTAAAGGCTTCGATAATATCAACATTCGAAAAAAGCCTCAAGAGGTATTAACACAAACGGGTTCTGATCGATTGAACCCTCATAAAATCCAACGGGTACAAAAAACACATGCTAAGACATAAAGAAATTTTCACTAAGTCTTTTATCCGAAAAGAGGGAAAAATCATAGCCGACTTAGAGGCCGAATTGGCCCAACTTAAAGAGCCTAAGGGCCGACTTAAAAGAACCTATGTGGCAATATAAAAAAACCTAAGGGCTAACTTTACTTCGAGTTCGAGCAAATCCTTACTCGACTATAAAGCCTAAGGGCTATTTTCATTTCGAGTTCGAGCAAATACTCACTCGACTACTAAGCCCAAGGGCTACGGAGTTCGAGAAAATTCTCACTCGGGGACTATCTATGAAGCCTAAGGGCTAACTCTACTTCGAGCAAGTCTTCACTCGATCATAAAAGCCCAAGGGTTATCTTAACCCGAGTTCGAGCAAACCCTCACTCGGGGATTATCCATAAAGCCTAAGGGCTAACTTTACTTATAGTTCAAATTTCACTCGACTATAAAGCCTAAGGGCTATTCTCATTTCGAGTTTGAGCAAGTACTCACTCGACTACTAAGCCTAAGGGCTACCCGAGTTCGAGAAAATTCTCACTCGGGGACTATTTTTCTAGCCCAAGGGCCACCTCATCTCAAGTTCGAGCATGTCCTCACTTGGCCATAAGGACTAAGGGCTATTTTCATTTCAAGTTCGAGCGTGCACTCACTTAACTATCAAGCCCGAGGGCTACCTTACCTCATCGACTGTTGAGCCTAAGAGCTACTCAAACTCAAGTTCGAATGGTCATTCAGGGTCTATTGATCAGAAATGTTCGAGGCAGAACTTATTGTCGGTCATTACCATCTCAAACTTTGGACATTCAGAAGGAATTTTATGCTAAGGCGTTTTGACCCGCACAAAAGGGTAATAGATTAAGAAGCTATGGAAGGAAAAATGCTTTGTATACACCTTTTTACAAGAGCTATATGTCATGATTAAGAGTTCCTCGCAAGGGCCGATCAGCCTCAAAAGCAAAAATATTACTAAGAACATGAAACCTAAGCCGCACGGTCCTTATCGGCAGAAGTGTCTTCTCCCTCAAAATCTTCTTCGCTGCCAGAATCGCTAAAGTTCTCGGAGTCTTCCTCAGGAAAGGCCAGCTTCCAAGCTTTTGTTTCCTCAATCGCTTATGACACGATGATCATGTCGTGGCAAATCGGGGTAAAGATCAAGGACTCAATTCATTTCTTGTCGTTATACTCCAAGAAATGCAGGGACTATCTGTATACAGTAGAAATTGGGGCTACCCAATTTCGTGGGCTCGAGGGTCACTTCAAGAGCGAGATCGAAATAGACCAGGAGCGGGCCCGATGGGAGGCTTCGAAAATCAAAGAGTCTGATGAATATAGAAGCCAAACGTGACCGGCCTCGAGATAATACCATTGTGGTTTTGTAATAGAAAGATCAAGATTCACGCCACATTCCCAAAATCATGGCATAAATCCCGGGATAGATTTGTATGAATTAATACTAATCCGTACTAGGCGGTTAGGTAGCTATCCCAATAAGATTCTTTAGCGTAAATAGAAATATACTTTATTTAGGGTTCCCTTATTATATAAAGGGGACCCCAATCATTTATAAACATCATCTAATCATTGACAAAGAATATACGCTTTCTTACTTTCTCGCTCATTGTTCATCAGAATTTTCCTTTAGCTTCATTATTCTTGCTTTATTGTTCTTGATCCATCTCGAGGTCACTTTGGCTCGAGGTCGATACTGTTTAGCAACACTAGTTTGATTTACTTATTTCTTTCATTTATACGTTATACTTCTTGATTATTAAATAGTATTGAAATAAATCACAAATCAAATATTGTTACTCGTATTTTCGAGGTAAACATTTATAAAAAAAGCAAGGTAAAGGATAAAAAAAATAATTATTTAATAATAAGGAAATGCAAGATGAGAGAAAATAATAAGGTAATGACGATACCATATCAAATCCAACGTCACATAAAGTTGCACTTTTCATCGTTATGTAACGTTGAGTTTAATGATACGATACAATAAAATTTAAGTAACCCAAAAAAAAAAACAAATATTGTATTTAAAGTTATACAACATAATATAGTAGGTAACAACCATCCAAATATCAACTTATTTGGATTGTATCGTATTGTTACTTCAAATACAATGTTGTCACTTACATTTTTATTATCGTGTTAAATTCATCGTTACATAAAGATGTAAAGTGCCACTTCATGTATCGACAGATTTGGTGTGGTCCCATCGTTATCTTATTTTTTCTCTTGTATCGTCTTTCCTTATTATTAAATAATTATATTTTATTTTTGATCTTACTTTTTTTACATAATATTCTACCTCGTACCTTACTTTTTTTGCACTATTGTAAGTTAATTATTTATATTATTGATGCATGACATCATGAAAGGAGGATTAACAATACATATTAGAATATTATATACATCAAAATAACACAATACAATAATATATAATAGGTCAAATACATAGATATCATATTAAACTTGGCCCAAAATTTCATTTTGGCACTTTAACTCAGCCTTGATCCATTTTGGCCCTCCAACCCCATTTCTTTTGTTCCACTTTGACACAAAAGCTGACTAGATTCCACGTGTGATTTGCCTCACCCTTCTAGGTGCGTGAGAGCCATTTTTAAGCCAAATTTCATACTCCCAACATAGAGGCGGATACAAAATTTAAATCCTATGGATTCAATTTTAATGTTTTTAACATTAAACCCATTATATTTTTAAAGTTATGGGTTTATATCTATTGTTTTTACAATTTTAATAAATTTTTACATACAAATTTTTACTCCGCATCGAAAGTTATGGGTTCAACTGAACCCGTAGTTATTACTGAAAATATATATAAAAAATATTTTTTCCAGGGAGGAGGGCAGAAAAAACGAAAAAAATAATAATTTAAAATTACCAAAAAAAATTGGGGGTGGGGGCAATGGGTTGGGGTGGGAGTATTAACTGGCTATTTGTCAGCGCTGCATTTTTACTTGGGATAAAAGTTTTGTGTCAAAGTGGAACAAAAGAACCCATTATATTTTTAAATGTTATGGGTTTATATCTTCTTTTTTTTTTACAATTTTAATGAATTTTTACATATAAATTTTTACTCCGCGTCGAAAGTTATGGNTGGAACAAAAGAAATAGGGTTGGAGGGCCAAAATGGAACAAGGCTGAATTAAAGTGCCAAAATGAAAAATTAGGCTAAGTTTAATGGTCTGTATAAGTATTTGGCCTATATAATATTATACAATACATTATAAAACTATACATAACATCTGCAAACCAGCTTTACGCACTGTGACCAAAAACAAAGGGAGAAATTCAAAAATAGCCAGATTTACAACTGGTCGTTCAAAAAAGCCCAGTTTCAAAAGTAAGCGAAATTTAGCCACTTTTCATGTAAAGATAAATCTGAGCGAAAACACTGTTCAAAACCCGAAAAATACGCCAGTATATTATACTGGAGTTCCAGGATAAGTACACTAGAACTCCAGCATAATATACTGGAGTTCCAGCAAGTATAATTGTCCAGTATAATATACTGGAGTTTGGAGCACCGGTGCTCCAAACTCCAGTATATTATACTGGAGTTCCAGGATAAGTACACTAGAACTCCAGCATAATATACTGGAGTTCCAGCAAGTATAATTGTCCAGTATAATATACTGGAGTTTGGAGCACCGGTGCTCCAAACTCCAGTATATTATACTGGAGTCAGCAAAGTATACCGGTCCAGCATAATATGCTGGAGTTCATACACAGGTGCACCGAACTTCAGTATATTATGCTGAATCGGTCTCTGTTACAGTAAAATAGTGACTATTTTTTATTGACTTCATAAACGCTGACTATTTTTGAATGACCAGTCCGAAAATTGGCTGTGCCGTGCTATTTTTACAAAAACAAAGGCACTACGACCTTATATCTGTAATTCTAAGAAAGAGAAGAAAGAGATTAGGAATATAGTGTTTCAATCGCTTTCCATTGTTGGATCTCCTATTGTGGAGTATTGCCAAGAAATTAGTTGTCACAAAAACATTTATTTACGTCTCTCTCTTTATTCCCTCTGTTCCTTCCGATTTTGAAGCCTTTTTACAAAAATCTCCCATGCTTCTTCACTCAACTTGCTCTCTTTCCATCGCCATACCCTTGTCTATCTCTGCCCTTTGTTTTTACTAACCCTTTCCCCTCCACTTTAACTCTTAATTAATTTCAGTTCTGTTTTGGGGCAATTCATTTTTTCACTATTTCCCCAAATTGAAATTCTTCTACCCCCTTTATCTGGCTCGCATCGCAACTGGGTTTGTTCTACTTTTAGCTTATGCTTTTGTTATCTTTAAAGATTCAATTTTCTAACTGTATTTTTTGGGTGTATTCTTTCTTGCTGGTTCTCTTTGATTTTCTGCTTATGTTTTTTACTGAGATTCTAATTGTTATTAGTGGGCTTTAGCATTTGGTGTTCTACATTGATTATAATTGGTGTGAATTTTCTATTCTGCTGTCACCATCTTAGGGTGGTAGTTTCATTGTGTTTCTTTATTTCTTACAACAATAGCTATGCCTCAATCTCAAACTAGTTGGGGTCAACTATATGAATTTTCAATAACCATTCCGCGCCATTCGGAATGAATAGGGCCTAAATTGAGGGGTAATAGTTGTTAAGGAGTTATATAGCCTATCCCAAACTGTATTAAGAATCAAGAGAAACTAATGTTACTACTGCCTCTGAGAAATCAAAGTAGACCCGGATTAGTTATTGAGTACTCCCTGTCTCATTTATGTGGCTCATTTTTCGTTTTTGGTTTGTCCAAAAAAGAACAACACCTTTCTTTATTTAGAAACAATTAACTTTAAACTTACCATTTTACCTTTATTGAGATGATTTATAGCCACACAAATGTCTATGGTTTGTTGTAGACCACAAATTTCATAAGTCTTTCTTTCTTTGTTAAAATTTGTGTGCAGTCAAACACCACCACATAAATTGAACGGAGGGAGTGATTGGTTTACTTCTTTTTTCTGATAAGCATTTCTTGGTTTACTTTCTGTTTGTTTAAACCTTGATTTAGGGGCAATGTCACAAGGCTATTCCATTGAGTTGTACTTTGACCCTGCGCTGGAAAACCAGGTCCTAAAGGCATGGAATGTATTGGCTCGGCGCCAGATTAGCACTCAGCTTATTGAGATTGAGTCTAGGCCTCACATTACTCTGTTCTCCAGTTCGCTTTTTGATCCTCTAAAACTTGAGAACATTGTAAAGAATTTTGCTGCCAAGCAAGAACCTCTGCCGTTGTCCTTTGGTTCAATTGGAAGCCTCCCGAGTGACAGTGATACTCTGTTTCTTGCTCCAACTCCAACTTTGTCTCTCCTTCAGTTCCATTTGCAGTTGTTTGATGCAATGAAAAAGGAGGGAATTGAAATGGGGGAAGAGTATCGTCCTGACACATGGATTCCTTATTGTGCGGTAGCTGAAGAAGTGCCTACAACTCGTATGGGCGAGGCATTCACTGTTCTGAGGGATTTGAAATTGCCTGTTGCTGGGTATGCAACGGATATTGCACTTGTCGAGTATCCTCCACTTTGTGAAGTGTTCTCATTCGTGCTTGGTAATGCAATTGAACTGTGAAGCTTTAAACATGCAATTCTGATGATTTAGTTTAGGTTTTATCTTTTGAATTCCTCTATATTGCTGTTGTAGAAACTAATCGACATGGTTGAAGTGCTGTTATAGTTTCAAAAATCATCCTTTCTTTTCTCTGGATATTAGAGTCATAGCTGATTTTTTGTTATTGCTTGTAGTTGCAATTGAGAGTTTTCCTAATGTGAGTTCCAGCGCTGACATGCTCATCTTTTTGCATACAATATTATTCTTGGTATGTTGCTGTATCCGTTGTACTATAGGATCGTTATTCACGTGTGCCTTTTACCTTGAAAGTCTTGAATATATGTTTTAGGTATTGAATATTGTGGTCTCCTTTTTTCTTTCTCAAAGCTTTCTTGTTCGTTTTAAATTCAACAAGATTGAGTCGGGTGTGAGGAAAACAAACTAAGAAATGACTTAATTGGTGTTTAAATAAGTGAAGCAAATAAAGATTAGCCAGGATATTGAGTTGACTTAACTCCTAAAGTGCTTAGGACAGTGTGTCATAATAATTGTGCTTCATAGATTCTGGGCTGATGGAGTATCATTCTTGATGGTGATACAATAGTTAATTTCAGATGTCCTCTTAAAACTCTATCAGACAACCAATTCCATTATGTGTAGCATTAAGTTAACTTCTTTTGCATTGAACTAGATGTAAGGAACTTAGGATAGGTGCCGTTAAGAAGAAGGTAATGCAGATTTGTATCCTCTGCTTGCTAGATAATCTGCATCTTATCCTTTGCTTGCTAGGAGTCTTTTAATATATCAGAGATTTATGTCTTTGCCGTAGCCTAGATACATGTCTGAGTTCAAGTTTTGCATATTTTGTTTTACAAACTGATTCTTGAGGTGAGGCTTCCTTCTATTTTGCTGCTTGAAAGCGTTTATGGCATATATATATATATATATATGATAAGGGGATTACAGTTTCAAATGAAAAAGGAGGTTCATTTCTAACTCTTAAACTAGAGAGTTTTGTGGAATTAGCATACCAGATTTGTTCGGAACTCACTGGAAATACGAGCGTAGGCTTTGATTCAAATGTTCATTCTTCCAAACAAAGGAAAGCCTCCTACCCTAATACTATGCCATTTGATTGAAACAAGTTCCGTGCTGCTCACCACTCCTCGAGGCCAAGGACGGGGTCGAACCGTCATTCCAGGATTTGCAGTCCGATACATTTCCATTATGTAAACCAAATAAGCACTTACATTCCGCCTTACTTTTAATTTATATTTTGGCGATTCAGTAGCGTGTACTGCTTTCTTGAAAACCTCTCTTACCTCAGCTTGCGTACTGTAATAAGGCGATTTAGTCACAAGGTTATGTTCCTGGCAAGCAGGTTATGAACTTAAATATCCCATCAAGGAACAGTTTTGTCTCCGAGGCCCAGCTGGCGCATGGTCTAAAAATGGGTCGTCTTGTTTCCTTCTCCATTTAAATATTAGACTGTTTTCCGTTGTAAGATTCGAGCTTGTGACGTGTGTCACACATAATGTGTATAGGGTAAAAATATGCTATGGCACGTGCTCATCCAAAAGAAGGATACGTGAAACCTAAGACGGAGAAGGCCAGAATCGAACACAGTTGTTTTGCTTGTCACCAGAAGGAATAACTTCCATAAAGCTGTGTTAAATGCTCTGCACCCAGTTGAATTTAATAAAGAATATTCTGCGGCATTAAGAGCAAGGACTCGTTACAGGGAATTTGGCATTTATGTTCACCTTTACACCTTCATTAATGACCCTAATAATTGACATTAAAGAAGGGGACGATCTTACGACCTCGTTCCTTAGATATAGCTATAAATAGTGAGCTCGGTTTCATTGTAAAAAATTTCCGGTAAACTTACACTACATTTTATACAAAACATAATATAATCTTACTTTCTCACTTTTTGATGTCATTATTGTTGTGTCCGGAAACCTTGTTCCTGGAACTGTCACTTCTGCTGTTTCGTCTACAATTCAAGGCTAAGTATTGTATAATTCTTCGATTATTTTATTATTTCAGGATTAAATTAGTTTACTTGTCTAGAAACCATGTATAAATTCAATTGTATCGTTTTACGGGTAAACAGTTTGGCGCCCACCATGGGGCCTAGACAATCGTGCAACTAAATTGATCCTTGCCTTTTTTACAAACGTGTTTTGATTATTTTATCTTAGAAAGAATCATAAGAAATGGCAGATAACACTATTAACAACACGCACAACCCCGAGATTCAAGGAGACCAGCCTCATTTCGAGGACTCAATCAGTGACACCCATAATGAGGGGAATAGTACCACACTGGTGAATGACATGCAGTGTCCTCGAGAGTTTCGGGAGACAACTCCCGATGATTCTGATGAGGAGCATGTCGTTGACGCGGTAAGGATCTTGCAAGAGCAACATGCAATCATTCTAGGCCATCTCACGCGACAGGATAAGGTTATAACGAAGTTGAAGCAGTTGTTGTCGGGGGCTTCGAATAATGCAAACAGGCGAGATCCAATTCCTCCCGGGTGTTCACGCAAACCAAATAACGCAGAGGGTCGACAACAACATTCCTAGGGGTGAAATTGGCTCCGACGGGGCTGGGTGGAGCGGATCCGGTCTCAATAACGAGTACAATCCTTTCAAGAATGAACTTTTACGGTTTATGAGGGAAATAAACACCCGCATAGACCAAATCATGGGCGCGCCGCTAGTATTGAAAGACCCGAACTCAAAGAAATATACTCAATTGTCGTAAAAGCCAAGTGCAACACCAGAATTAATCCCGAAGCAGTTCAAAATACCTGAAGTGCCAAAGTATGACGGAACTTCAGACCCTCGGGAACATATTACCACCTACACATCGGTGAAGGGAAACGATTTTGCTCCTCATGAAATTAAATCTCTGTTGCAAAAGAAATTTGGGGAAACTCTCATGAGGGGAGCCTTGACGTGGTATTCTTCCATAGATTCATTTGAAATGCTCGCGGACTCTTTCATCAAGGCTTATGTCGCGGCCTGAAAAGTACAGGTCTGAAAGGCCGATATATTTAGGAATGTGCAAGGTGAGTTCGAGTTACTACGAGAATCCGTTACCCGATTCCAGAAAGAAAGAATGTTGCTCTCGGCTGTCCCGGATGAATGGGCAGCTGAAGCATTCACCAAGGGATTGAATCCGAGAAGTTCAGACGCTTCCCGAAAGTTGAAGGAAAGCCTGCTTGAGTTTCAAGCAACAACTTGGGCATATGTCCACAACCGATACGAGTCAAAAATAAGGATCGATGATCAGGTTGGCTTTCCATCGTCGACCAAAGGACGAGAGAAGAATAGAGAAAAATCAAAAGATGACTTCGACACGGACATACGAACATTGAGGGGCCGATTTTTGCCCTACGAGCGGACCGAAGATCGTGATAGAAGCTTCCGAACAACAGACAAGTTCACCGTTGGCAGAAGGACTGATCGTGGTCGGAACAATAGATCACTGCATGATAAAGAAATGTCGGGGTCATGGGATCCTTCTTATCCCAAATTATTGGAATACAATTTCAATGTCAGTATAGTGGAATTGGTGTTAGCCATGAGAAACATCAAAGAAGCATGGTTCCCGAGACTAATGAGATCTGATCCAGCCAGAGGGATCCCAACTTATAGTGTGAATACCATGGGACGAATGGCCATTGGACAAGGGACTACCGACAACTTCGGGAAGAAATGGCAACGTTATTGAAGAATGGTCACCTCAGAGAGTTCTGAAGTGATCGGGCTAAGAACAAATATGGTCATAACAGAGAATGCGGAACCCTCGAGAGTAGGAGAGGAACCCCTACATCAAACGATCAATATGATCTTCGGAGGGAATGAGATTAACAGGGTCACCTTTTTGGCAACAAAGAAGACGAAAGTATCAATAACTCATAGTAAAAGGCTCCGAGAAGATGATATCACTTTTACGGAGGAGGACGCAGACAGATTGCTGCTACCACACAATGATGCACTAGTAATTTCTTTAAATGTGTTAGATTTTAAGATTAAACATGTTCTAGTGGATCCAGGAAGTTCAGTTAATATCATACAATGGAGAGTGTTGGAGCAAGCTAAACTCACCGTAAGAATTATTTCGGCCACAAAGCTCCTCGCTGGATTTAACCTCGCGAGTGTGACAACCTGGGGAGAGATTCTATTGCTCACGAACGCTGAAGAGTAATAAAAATAACCCTTTTCGAAGTGGTAAGTAGTGATATGGGATACAATATCATCATGGGAAGGCCATGGTTACACGAGTGGAAAGTTGTACCCTTAACATATCACCAATTGCTAAAGTTTCCAACGCCCGAAGGAATCAAGCAGATAAGGGGTGATCAGCCTGCAACAAGGGAGATGAATGCAATTTCGGTCTCAGTAGCAAAGGAAAGGAACGCGCGGCATAGCAATTACAGGAGCCGACACCTACTCCCGAACCAGAAGAATTTAGCTTGGGGACAGAGGCATTAGAACATTATTAGGTGCCGAGATATTTCCAAGTTCCAGAAGAGACGGATACAACGAAATCCAAAGCGGAAGAACTGGAGCAAGTTGCATTATTTGAAGAATTCCTAGAAAGGAAATTCCACTTGGGGGCAGGACGACACCCAGAGCTCAGGTATGATTTTATTGAATTTCTTAAATCTAATGTCGATTATTTTGCATGGTCACATGAGTATTTGATAGGCATCTCGATGGAGGTAGTCGTGCACAAGTTAAGCTTGGACCCCAACATACTCTCGGTAAGACAGAAGAAACAATGTATTGCCGAATCCAGGAATAAATTCGTTAAAGAAGAGAAAACCCGCTTGCTTAATATCGGTTCGATCCGAGAGATGACCACCTTAAACATCTGCAAGAAACTTTCGACATCTAAAGAAGCATAATATGAAACTTAATCCCAAGAAATGCGCCTTCAGGGTTAGTTCTGGTAAGTTTCTGGGATTTCTGGTCTCACAAAGGGGGATTGAGGTAAACCCCGATAAAATCAAGGCCATAGAAGACATCCCGGACCAACTGTCAAATGTAAAGGAAGTCCAAAGGCTCACGGAAAGGTTGACAACCTTAAGCAAGTTCATTTTCGGGTCATCAAAAAAATGTTAACGCTTCTTCGCACTGCTCAAAGAGAAAAATAATTTCGAATGGACACCAAAATGCCAGCAAGCTTTGAGGGATTTGAAGTACTTTTCATGCCCTCCA